TTAACCCCTCCTACATTTGCAGTTCCCAACAATATTAAATCAAAGAAACATAAAACAGATATGCAGTCATCCTACATCTCCCAAGACGCTCTAGCAACCGCCAAAACATTCATAGACAACCAGATGCCTGCCCTTCCCTTGAATAGTGACCAGTTTAAAAGCCTTCTCGAGAACAGTCATGGAACACAAGACATCACAAATATAATTAAAGATTATACGGATGACATTAAAGGACTTATAGAAATGATACTATTAGTATACTCCCACATAACCGATAAAACAGTCAAAAACAGATGCACAAGACTCCGTAAAAAGCTAGAACGCTACATTGACAACAACACTAACGAATGCCTTAGTGATACCTCCTCCATAGATTCAACTTTCTAATTACCTGAAAATCGTAATGCACATTGGACTAACTTCATTGTTGCAGTGGAACCTCAATGGGTACTATAGTCATCTGAACATGCTACAGAAACTCATATCAGATCAAAATCCAGACATAATCTGCTTACAGGAAACTCGCTTTACTGATACCAACACACACTCACCAAAAGACTACAAGGGATTCTTTAAGAACCGTAATTATACTTCCAATCAAATAGCTAGCGGTGGCACTGCTATATATATTAAAAGTAATATAGTAGCGAAACCTATAAATCTAAATACACAGCTAGAGGCAGTTGCTATCACAATAGAAGTCCCTCAAAAGATCAGCATCTGCAACATATATATACCACCGAACTATCAATTAGACATTAATGAACTAGAAATGCTACTCCAACAGATACCCTCTCCACGACTCATCATGGGCGACTTTAACGCCCACCACCTTGTTTGGGGTTCCAAAAGAAACAATGCTCGAGGAATAATAGTAAAGGACTTACTAGATACAACTGATCTTAGCATAATGAATGATCGTACAGAGACAAGGCTTGATCTTGGAAATGGAACATTCTCAGCAATAGACCTAACTTTAACCTCAACAAATCTGATAACCTCACTGCACTGGCAAGTACTAGATGACCTTTATGGAAGTGACCACTTTCCTATCAGAATATCTAATACGGAAGTCCAAAACAGAACTACACCATTCGAAAGGTGGAATTTGTATAAAGCCGACTGGATGAAATTCTCGGACTACATAGAACGACACATCCAAGAACTTCAAATAGTTAGCGACATTAACCAAAGTGTATACAATTTCAACAATATCATCTTGAGCGCAGCACATAATCACATCGGTAAAACCAAACCAATGATAAACAAAAACTCCGTTTCATGGTGGAACGAAGAGTGCGGCGCAGCAATCACAGCAACCAAGAAAGCATTAAATAAATACAAAAGACAAAGAACTACTGACAACCTGATAGATTTAAAGCGAAAGAGGTCACGTGCAAAACTAATAACAAAGAAAAGTCAAAAGGATTCTTGGAAAAAGTTTGTAAGTAGTATAAATAGTTCAACACCATTAGCAACAGTCTGGAAGAAGATCAAAAGCATAACCGGAGCCAAGTCATACTCACCTATAAAATGCTTGAAGAATGGAAACACAACACACACAACGAATGAAGCAATAGTTGAAGCATTTAGTGAAACTTACCTCAAAAGTTCCAGCAACCAAAATTACAGCGATGAATTTCTAAAACACAAAACAGAGCTAGAATCAATACCAATATCAATACAGAACAACCAAGACCCAGTGAATATAATAATCTCCGAACACGAAATGGAAGAAGCCCTTAACGACTTGAAAGAAACTACTGCAGGACCTGACGACATACCTACTATCTTTCTGAAAAATCTTCCTCAAGTAGCTAAACAACATTTACTAAGAATCTTCAACAAAATCTGGACTGAGAATATGTTTCCTGATATATGGCGCCAAGCATTAACGATACCGATACTAAAACCAACCAAATCATCTCTTGTGCCTGAATCTTATAGACCAATAAGTTTAACATGCGCTATGTGCAAGCTATTAGAAAAAATCATCAATAAAAGGCTCCTATGGAGCCTAAATAAGTCGAATCTACTAGCTAAGGAGCAGTCCGGTTTTAGACAGAACAGATCCACCATAGACAATGCAGTAGACCTGGAAACATACATATATGAAGCTTTCGAGAACAAACAGCATTGCCTTGCGGTATACTTTGATATGACTAAAGCATTTGACACTATTTGGAGACATGATATCATCTTAAAATTACACGGATGGGGTTATGATGGGAATATCGTTGCTTTTATATCCAATTTTCTGAGCAATAGGAGTTTTCAAGTCCGTTCGAATGGAGTTCTATCCAAACCCAAACTACAAGAAAATGGCATCCCACAAGGATCAATAATCAGCCCGACATTGTTCTTAATCGCTGTCAACGACATTCTTAGTTACATTGAAAAACCAGTTCAAGCACGTCTTTATGCGGATGATATGATAGTGTATATAAGAGGAAAAAACCCAACAACCAATACAGAACTCATACAAAAAACAATTCACAAATTGGAACAATGGACAAAACACTCCGGGTTATCATTTTCACCTGAAAAGACAAAATATATTATATTCTCAAGAAGACAGATAATCCAACTCAGAGTACCACTAACACTTCATAACATATCCTTAGAGCAAACACAAGAAATCAAATTTCTGGGACTCGTATTCGATCATCGATTGACCTGGAAAAAACACATAGAGTACCTAGTTACAAAATGTGAAAAAAGAATGACAGTATTAAAATACTTATCCAACAGACACTGGGGAGCTGAAGGCAAATCCTTGCTCTACCTATACCGATCACTGATAAGATCTAAAATAGACTATGGTAGCATAATCTACGCCTCAGCTAGCCGTTCAACTCTAAAACCTTTGGATAGCATACACCACAGAGCACTTCGCTTAGTACTTGGAGCATTTAGAACAACACCAGTCCAAAGCTTATATTGTGAAGCCGGCGAACTGTCGCTGAATGACAGAAGGGAGATACTAAGCTTAACATATGCCACTAAAATAGCATCAAATCCAAGTATCCCTGGTCACAAGTACATAGGACAGATTAATAGAGGAATCCAGCTGGGCGTTTCCAATGCAACACAGAAAAAACCGTTTTACAGAAGAATCTCTGACTACTTGAGAAAATTAAATATCGCACAAATTCCTACAACTACCATCAGACCTAGTGCAGACATTGCTCCTTGGACAATGCAGAGGCCAAGCATCAACAAAGCTCTCACAAGAATGAGTAAAACAGACACGCCAGCACCAGTAATAGTACAAAATTTCCAGGAAATAGTCAACAAATACCAACACCATGAGAAAATATATACAGATGCATCAAAACTTGACAATAGAGTAGGAACAGCTGTTGTGACATCCACTACTACCATTAAAATGAAATTACCAGATGAAGCAACAATTCTAACAGGAGAATTATATGGAATATTAGAAGCCATGAAACACGTACAGAATCAGAACATCCAACGAAGCCTCATAATAACTGATTCTCTAAGCTCGCTTCAGCTTATTGAGCAGATATATACGAAAAACCACCTGGTGCACCAAATTAAGCAGATTCTCCACTCATTACAAGCAGACAACCATGATGTTGTACTCGTATGGGCTCCTTCTCACGTTGGTATCCAAGGCAACGAAAAAGCAGACCATCAAGCTAAACTAGCAGCAAACTTGGATCACACATCAACCATAAACATCCCAGATACAGACATAAAATCTCACCTTAAACAAAGAGCTATTCAAACCTGGAATGCTAACTGGCAAAACAACACATCAAAGCTGTTTGAACTGAAACCCAGATTCGGACCATGGACAACACACACAACAAACAGAAAACATCAAACAATCATCACACGACTCCGTTTAGGTCACACCCGGATCACCCATGGACATCTCATCACGCAGGAACCAGAACCCATGTGCGAAGTGTGTGAAACCCATCTCAGTGTCAAACACATATTAGTGCAGTGCCCTTTGTTAGAGCACTATAGAGTGGAATGTAACCTCACATCATCAACCATGTGTGATATTTTAGCACCAAATAGCAACATAAACAATCTATTACGTTTCCTACAGCAAACTAATGTATTATATAAAATATAGCATTTAAGCCGTACCGCTAATGGCCTTTAGGTCGAAGCGGGTAATTAAATAAAAAAAAAAAAAAAGGGTTTTCAGCAAGTTTTTCTAAATACCATCAGCAGAAATTTAAACGTAATGGAAAATCAGGCGACAGTAGTCTTCTGTGTATTCTAGAAAAATGCATATCTGCTAACTCGGAATTTGTAACTCTTGGCATAGTTTATTTATTTTCTCTTTATACAGTATACATCCCGTACGGACGCCACTGGTAGAGATATTGAAAAATATTCTACATCAAAAAATGCCTATTGGTGTTCAGTAGGTACATGTCAAATTTCAGTAAAAAAGTTATGATAAAACGATTTTTTTCTGAAAATTTGGACACCCTGTAGCTCAAAAGTTAAGCTTAATTTACACACTGTAGATGTGTTTTTACATTCTTGGACGACACAATAACGCTTACTACTATATTTTTTATGTAAACTAGTAGAAGTCATGTCTATATGCTTACAAGTTTGAGGGGTTATGCTGTTGTCAGATGCTGTTTACAAATCGTATGACGTCATATATATGGCCCAAATATGGCGGACGGCGTTTTCGCCTGTCTCAGAAAAATATATTTTTAAGCTTATGTTTTAGGACCTTTTAGCATCATTGTTGTGTTTTATTTCATGGGTCTTATTTCCAGACCTATTGTGTTATCGCCATGACAGTACAAGGGGACATATATTTTGCATGTTCATCGATCTTAAAAATAAGAAAAAAACAATCTCATCCTTCTATTTGAACCACAAATATCACTCTAGCGTCAGTGTTGATTTGCATTCGACATTGACTCTATAGTCTGTCACTATCCTTTGGCATTTAACTCCCGCTTCTGAGAATAAAATAGTCATTTTTATTGCAGATAAGCAAAGAAATGATAAATAACAGCAGTAGGTCGAAGAAAAATACTTTTCTTATCAATATAAAAAACAAAAAAGTGAAAGATTCCTGTGATACTCTTAGGAAGCAGATAAATACCTCTCCTACAAAGAAGGAAGAAAAGAGAAAAAAGTCACCTGCAAAAAACGCTAGGTTATTTTCTTTCAAGCAGACGTTGTGCAATATGTTTAAATTTAGGTGAGTGTCAATATAATAATAATAGTACAGCCTAAGTTTCAGTCTTGCGTGCACTGAATGCAAGGCCGTTCCTTCTCTTGAAACCTCTTGCCTTGACAGTTTTGCACATGCGAGTGACAACAGAGTTACCAGATATCTTTGTGAAGGGAGTCTTGTTCGATTTGACGCTTTCTTAGTGCTTTCACTACTTTTCTTATGGAAAGTAGGGTGCTAGGCATTTTGGTTTCCATGTCTATAGATATCACACTTCATCAAACATTAAATTAACAATAAATAACGGAAGGTACAGCTCGTCAAGTGTAGGAAGAGATGCGAATTTTTGAATAACGTCACAGTAGTTAGCGGCTCAATTCGATGAATCAGTAGTCTCTTGTGGTGTCTAGACTAGTTATCGTACAGTCAAGAGAAAAATTTTCAGGCAGTGAAACAACCTTATTACTTATTATCTGTGTATTGTTACGAATTCGTGGGTTGAATACATACAATTTTACGCTATTAATTGTCTATTCCTTGGTGAGATTTACTCGTTTATAATGGATTTTAAATCCAAATTACAACGTAAAGTTTTATCAGGATAAACTAGGGAGGTTGTAGCAAATGTTATATTCTTGATGCAACGAGAAGCAGAATGAAATAAACCTCTTAAGGATTTGAAGAAAGTTCAGGAGCGTGCAGCCATGGCCGCGAGAGTTAGTCTATCGACTATTAGGAGGATTTGTCGTGAAATGAAATCTGTTGAAGAAGGTGCTTCGATATCTTTTTCGACTCCAAACAAAAAAAGTCGAAGAGCCGCTCCGAAATATGATTTCGACGACTTTGATAGAGGATTGCTTCGTCGATCTATAATGAATTTTTACATAACGGAAAAGAAGTTTCCAACTTTGCGGCGCATACACAGGAAATTTGTTCAACAACACAACTACACTGGATCACATGACACTTTAAGGAAAGGGATGACGACAATGGGATTTCCTTGGAGGAAGGCAAGAACTAATAGAAGACTTCTTATGGATAAACCAGAGAAGGATGAAAGAATATAGAGAAAAAAACCGTCCTATAATTTATATGGACGAAACATACATCCATACATCACATACGCATGAAAAGAGCTGGAGAGATAATACCAATGAGGGCCTTCACAGGCCAGTTTCAAAAGGATAAAGATTTATTATTGTGCATGCTGGTATGGTATGGTTTCGTGGAAAATGCATATCTGAAATTTAAATCCAATAGTAAGTCGGATGATTATCATAGTGAGATGAACTATAGTAACTATAAAAAATGGCTTCAGGATAAACTGATTCCCAACCTACCACCAAATAGTGTTTTGGTTATAGACAAATGTCCTAGTATGTACTCTAAGAAGGATCATATGAAAGAATGGGTAAGGCAAAAAAACATACATTTCACTGACGACATGTTGAAAATTGAATTCTATAGTCTTATTAAAATGCATAAGCATAATGCATATAACTTAAGAAATAGACGGAATAATGGCTGAAAAAGGCCGTTCTGTTCTGAGCTTGCCACCATATCACCCCGACTTGAACCCAATTGAGTTGATATGGGCATCTTTGAAACAACATGTGGCTGAGAGAAATGTAGATTTTAATCTCAAGACTGTCGACAAACTTTGCGACGACTTTCTCTCGTCTTATCCCACAGAAGAAAGGATAAAGCGATGTGAGCATGCCAAATTTTTGAAAAGCAGTATATGGAAATGGAACCAGCACTCGACTTAGTTGTGGATCAAATAATAATAAACCTAGACGAAGATAGCGATAGTGGAATCGAAGATTTAAGTTTAAGTAGTAGCTCAGATTCTGATTCCGAACTTTCAAGATTTGATCCTCTGTGAAACTTTATAAATCCTTAAAATATTGCCAATTGTGTCTACTACGACGTTAGTTTTCTGACCTTACTTTTCATTTGATTGTTTATTAATTGAAATTATTAATTAAAAACAGAATGAGTACCAATCAGTATTTCAGTCTTATAGCTACAGTAATGGACAAAAGTATATAGACAAATTAATATTGTGCTGTATTTCTTTTTTAACTTGTTTTATTAATACACCAACCTGTATACATAATTCGTTATAGCATAATACTCAGTTATACATGAATAAATTCATTAGACTCCCTTCAATAAAAAATTAATTGAGAAAAACTGGAATTATGAAGGACAAAAATATATAGTAGACAAAGCAAAACAATTATAGAAAAAAGAAGCAAAGTTCATTGAATTATAGAAAATCAACCATGTTTGTGTTAATATTTTGTAGCATAACCATTATTATCAATCACCGCCTGGCATCGTCTCGGCATAGATTGTAGAAGTTTTTTGATATAAGATTCATCAGTCTGTCTCCACTTTTGCTCTAAAGCATAAAAAAGTTAATCCTTGTTTGAATAATTTTTATCTCGTATTTACTTATCTAAGTATTTCCATAGATTTTCAATAGGGTTTATATCGGGAGACTGTGAAGGCCATTTGAGAACTGGTATTTTTTCATCCAGAAAGAATTTCTTTGCGAGATTTAAAGTGTGCTTCGGGTCATTATCTTGCTGGAAGATTGATCTTAAGGGCATATTGTCTTCCATATAGGGTAACATGACATGCTTTAGTATGTTTGTGTATGCATACTTATCCATAATGCTATCAATTCTATGTAAAGCTCCCATCCCAAACCCCGAAAAGCAGCCCCAAACCATAACAGACCCGCCTTCATGTTTGACAGTGGGCAAAGTGTACTTGGGGTTCAATCTTTGTCCAGTAGGACGTCTAACGTAATGAACACCATCTGATCCAAACATATTGAACTTGGATACGTGACTGAAACATACCCTCTTCCAGATGCTCCAATCAAGATGCAACCGTGCAAATTGTAATCGGTCCTTACGGTTTTTCCTCGAGATTAGCGGCTTCTTACTCGGGCAACGTGCAAATAACTTCAAATCATTTAATCTTCTACTTATAATTTTCGTAGAAACACTGGCAATTCCTTCTGTCTCGATTTCGGCTTTTATTTGTCTTGGGGTTTTAAACGGATCTTTGAACGAAATTACTTTTATCAATCTAACTGATCTAGCATTTAGTTTTCTAGGCCGACCCCTTCTCTTAGAGGCTTCCAAGATACCTTTTTGTTTATATTTGTTCAATATTGCCCAAACTGCTTTACGCTTCAGCTTGAAGTTTTTGGCAGTGTCGACGTGTCGTATAACTCAATGATCTTAGTTTTCACATCGAAAGAAATTTCTGGACCACGCGGCATGGTCTTAAAATCACTCAACTTATTCCACAATACTTGATGAACACAAACTAATCCTCTTCTGACACGAAACTGTACTAAACTAATGTTGAAAAGAATTTGTCTACATATTTTTGTCCCTCATAAAAAAGTGCTTATATTCAGACTTGTATTGTGTTCATTGCAGATAATGTAAAAACAAGGAATTTAGTTTTTCTAATAATAACGCATTTGTTCATGGAGCAATGAAGTATGAATTCGTTTTCTAAAGGTATTTAGGTAAATATTCGTATTTGTCTATATACTTTTGTCCATTACTGTACATAGGGTGCAATACTTATTTTAAGGAGTAAATTGTTTTGGTTTCCCTTTGACAGACGCCAACAATTTCGATTAAAAAAATCAGGCGTCACATAATACGTATTCCATTATTGAAATTATTAGGACGTAGACTGTACCACTCGAGATCGAATGGCACGTACGTGTCATCTCTTGTTCCGAATGCGTTCTCCCTGTCTCGTGTGCGCAATCCCAGCAAATCGACATATCTCTTCCTACACTTGACGAGCTGTAATAAGTAGGTCTTGGATCAAAACAAAGCCCAGTCATCATGAGAATCATGTCATAGTTATAATTAATATTGTTAAAAAATGTCGCTCGTTGAGATGCTCCATAAGTTAAAAATATTCCAGGAGATATGTTTCACCGGAACGTATCAGCAAAAAATCGTATAGCAATAGCAGCGACAATGTTTTGGAAGACTCTCATAACAACATAACGAGTAGAGCATTGCCACCTTTGCCTATGAGGCAAGAGACTGAAGACAAGAAAGATAATGAACAAACGTTGGACTTCGCTACTAGCATACAGAGGGTAAAAGATGTAAGTAGTTTGTGTTATTCTCATGGAATGACTTGTCTTATGTAGGGTGTCCCAGCAGTCGACGTCAAGCAGAAACGGGGGATAGACCAAGTCATAATGGTTATCAGAAAAAATATAAAAAATCGAAGTCGTATACTTTTCAAATTATAGGCTTTAAAAAAATTCAGAAAAATCTACACCCTGTGATGATCTTTTAGTTACCATTACTACAAATTTGGGGAAGAATTATTGTGTTATACACATTTTTTTGGAATACATATTAAGATTATGAGAAACTCTATTGAAGCAGTGGCGGCTCGTGCCAATTCAGTGAGGTAGTGCCAGAATGGAAGCCATAATTTTGAATCGATTCAAAATTGTAAAGAATAACTTATAACTTACCTCTGTAGTTAGTGGTCAAAGTTCTTGAGGTTCAATAAATCTATATGTCCAACAAAAAAATCAAAAATAAAACTATTTACACACGCGCACCAAATTATAAAACAAGTGTGGAGAAGTACCTAGAACTTCAAAGTTTTCTATATATGAAGTCCATTCTTCTTTCTTTTTTGGTAGCAAATTTTTCGATTACCTTATTATTAAAATTTTCAATGCCACTAACAAAATGTTTTTCTGCAGACAGCATTCCTAAAGCACTAAGCCGAAAGAAACTTCCTTCATTGTGTTTCTGAGGAAAGTTTTAATCCGTTTCAGCATTGAAAAAGAGCGTTCTGCTTCAGATGTTGACATCGGTATAGTGATTAAAATACTTAAGAGCTTAAGAGTTTCTTGAAACGTACAATTTAATCCTTCCTCGTTCAATAAAATGGATAGTGGAACAGCTCCAGAAGTAGTACTCAATTATTCTCTCTAATATAATAATTGTAACTCAGTTTTAAGCCTGTTTTTGTTTAAAAATGAAAATTGTGTGCATGTGTCATTTAAATGTGCTTCAGGAAACTGATGTTTATAAACAGAAAACTTTTCAGACACAAATAAATTAGAAGCAACTAAATGCCCAGAAAAGTTAAATCTTGTTCTTATTTGCGATAATACTGCATCGCACATTTCTAACGCTTCCCGTTTTTTGCTGCCTTCTTCAACTTGCCTTTTTTTTCTTGCCGGTTCATCAGTTTCTCTCTGCACTCGTTCAATCTCGTCAATAATGCTATCCATTTGTTCTCGTATAGTTTGAATTGCTGCTTCAAAATTCTCTAAATCATTTTTGACCTTAACAGAATCGGTGCATACTTTTTGTAATTGGTTAAAGACAATTTCAACATGTGGCATTATTTTATGGAAAATACTTAGCCAAAATACAAAATTTGTATCTTACAGCTTTAATTTGTACCCACTGGATTGATTAATCGACGAAGAATCGCGTGAAGTACTTTCTATATTGTCCATAACTTCAATCAGGTCTTTCCTATTTTCATAAACTATATGAACACCTCGTGACTGAAAATTCCAACGTGTTTGGGAAGATCTTGGCAATCTGCGGTTAACTATTTCATCCAAAATTTTTGGTTCTTTGAGGACACGTCGAAAAAAAAGAGCACAATCCAAATAAATTATGGAAAAATATTCTAGCCTGCTTATTGACAGAGCATGCGCTTGTCATAATTAGATTTAACTGGTGTGCATAGCAATGAACATAATTTGCAAGTGGATAAGTTTCCTTAATAATTTTTTGAACGCCATTCAATTCACCACTCATAACAGACGCACCATCATAGCTTTGAGCTATTAATTTGTTTGGATTTTGATCTAGTAATGGATTTACAACATTTAAAACGCATGCAGCGATTGATTTGGCATCGTGTCCGTCGGGGACGTAAAATCTCCAAAATCTCTCAACTGGTTGTCCTTTACACAAATATCTGAAAATAATAACTAACTGAAATTCACAGGCTACGTCCGTCGTTTCATCGGCAATTACTGCAACAAAAGGAGAATTTGCAATCTCCTTCTTAACTTCTTCATGATAAACATCTAGCATGCACTCAAGAAGCTCGTTTTGAGTTGTTTTTGAGGTACCCTTAAAAAGTTTGGCACTTTGAATATGGACTTTCAATTCGTTGTCTAATTCGGCGCTAAAATTCACCAGCTCCTTAAATATGCCTCTGTTTTGACCAAGTCTCGTCACCTCCAAATAGAACACATACAAAACAAAATAGTTTATTCGTTTCTTCACAACCACATATCCAGCTGTTTTTATCGTACACATTTTTATTAAATTTGCGACAGCGCGATTTTTGTCCGCTACCACTTTGTTTCTCAATTTTTAAATCGGGTATTGGCCGTCCTAATTCTTTAATTTGCAGTTTTTGATCCAGCGAAAAACCACTAAATGAGTTTTTTAATATCCCGATTTTATTCATTTTCACTAGTTTTAATAAAACAGTAAAAAATATGATCACAAAACAGAGCAGTTCATTAACACTAGACGTACTAAAACAAAAACGTTATTTCTCACTTTTCAGGTAAAAAAAGACCGAAATCAGCACTAGACGTAATCATAACGAAACGACCGACCGAACAAAAACACCACCGATATCATTTGATAACGAATTACGACTGATGATGTGCCTGGCACAAATTATACTTGTCTTTCGCTATTGACCTCATATAAAAATGTCTAGCGTAGCGTTATCTCTGTCGCTCGTATGCGATGCTGGTAAAATTTCTCTCTTTTTATTTGGGCCGGCCCAAAATTGGCACAAGTTGATGACGTCAAGGTCAAGGCATGCTTTCCGTCTCGTCGCGTCGGTCGGGTGCGGGCGGGTGCTTGCGGTGTTGTCAGTGTTGTCACTTCATATAATTTATACCAAAAAAAAAATGAAAAAGCAGAAAATAAAGTAAAACATTGAAGATTGAAAAAATATTCTTTTGAAGAAGACAAGGTAGTGCCACGGCACCGTGGCACTACCTCACGAGCCGCCACTGTATAGAAGTAATTTGTCTTTTTCGATATTGTTTCCCTTTTGACATACATTTTATTTTATTATTGTTTAATTTAAGTTTATTGACATTTAAACAATTCATAATTTTTTCATTATCACTATTTAACAGTTCTAAAGCAATGTCCAAATGCTTATGTGCTATATATATATATATATATATATAAGTGTATCGTCTGCAAATATTTGAATTTTGCAGTATTCTAAAATGTCAGAGATATCATTTATATAAATAATAAATAGTAACGGCCCTAATTTACTCCCCTGTGGCACCTCTAATGATATATTCTGAATACTTGACATAATATTTCCAACTTTAGTTTTTTGACTTCTATTTACTAAATAATTTTGTAAAATATGTATTACTGATCCTTTAAAGCCATAATGACGTAATTTCATTAACAATTTTTCCCTATCTATAGTCTCAAATGCCGTTTTTGAAGTCCAAAAATATTGTTAAAATATATTCTTTCTCATCTATACTTCTTCTCCAGTCTTCCACCACCATGTGGATTGCCGTTTCTGTGGTACATTTTTTCTAAATCCAGTTTGGTTTCTAATCAAAATTTTGGTTTCTTCAATGAATTCTATGATTTGTTCGTATATTATCACTTCGAACAGCTTCTCGACATCGGGCAAGACATTAATCGGTCGCATATTTGTATGCAGCTGAGAATTTTGAACTTTTGAATAAGATAGATTCATGTAACCATCTTAAATGTCGACCCGTCAGTCCATAAAATTTATCTGAAAGTCACGGATCTTCCGGGTGCCTCTGTAACATTGTTTGATAAAATTCAACTCTTGGAATAGAATGGACCAACAATGACTTTTTGAAAGAAATGGAAAAGAAAGACGAACTGTCTAAGCCAATGATTAATAACCCTACAATAGAAAACATGAATAATTATAAAAACTAAGAATAAACTAACTGAAAGAAATCAAAAAGCTAAAAAAGATTATATTCAAAAAAAAGATTAGGAAAATGGAAACAATTCTACATCACTATGGAATGCCTTGAAAGCAACAGAAACAAAAAAGAAAGATACCAGAATTAACTTGATGAAAGATGAACAAAATCGTATATTTAAATCAAATCAAGAAATCGCAAACAAATTCGCAGAATATTTTTCTAATATATGTGGGACATTCAGGAATAAAATTCAAAAACATTCCACGTATGGTCTCTACAGAAAAAATTCATTAAATTTGTTCTACTTAACGAAGTTATTAAAACTATAATAAACTTAAAACACAAAAAATCGCCAGGTAATGCCGCAGAAACCCTAAAAATTATAGCTATCTATATAGCTAAACCTCTTACATTCATAATAAATTGGATTTTTGAAACTGGTAATTATCCCAGTGCATTTAAAACGGTTTTAATTACACCAATACATAAAAGTGGAGATAGATCAAAATTGAATAACTATAGACAAATTTCTGCTATAAAAAATTTGGCGAAGATATCTGAAAAGATCATGAATGTATAACTAGATCAGTTTATTGAATTTGAATTCAAATTAATACCAGGGTCACAGTTTGGCTTTCGAAAAGGTGCATCTACCAAAGATGCCATGAAATTATTAGTAGGCGACTGAACTAAAAATATTAATAAAAACAATACAACAATGGCTGTATTCATCGACTTACAAAAAGCATTTGACACTATAGATCACGAGAAACTATTGAATAAATTAGAACACATTGGAATTAGAGGTACGCCACTTTATTTCAAAATTATTTGCATAACAGAAAACAAGGTTAAAATTGAAAATATGACTAGTGAAGAAATGTCTATAATATAAAGCTAGAACTTGGACAACATTAAAAGAAGAAATTAAAAAAGATTTCGTACGCATTTTAGACTGCCATCTTCGTTGGGATGAACATATCCAATACCACAGCCGACGTCAAAAAGAAACTTAGATTTTTGTTATATAAACTCGGAAATTACAGACAAATTTTCAATGAAACTCAATTAAAAATTACATATCGTACATTAGTTGAATGCCACATTACCTGTGGAATTATTATCTGGGGATCCACGAATAATAACCATCTGAATTCTTTACAAATAATAAAAAAAACAATTCATAACAAACCTTTACTATATCGCTCCAGTGTTCAAAACTTTTAAATATAAAAAAAAAATTGGTGTTATACTAGAATTCCGTAAAAACAAACATTAGACCATTTATAAAAATTAAGAACATGACACTAGAAATAAAAATAAACAAATAATTGTTGCAACGCCAAAAAAAGAAATAACGTTGAAATATTCATATATACCCAGGTCCAAAATTATATCATAAATTACCAAAATATATTAGAAAAAACCGAATATCATTGTTCTTTTGATTCGGAGGGCTGTACTTTTAGACACCGTACTTGCTTCTATTTGACGTACTGGGTTTTTTTCGACTGCTTGTAGTACGAGTACGACATCCTCGTAAGGAAAGGAAATTCTTCCTTCACCATGTGCTTGGTTTGGGAATCTTCCGTCTGAGATTAAATTGTTCACATTCCCAAAAACCCAAATTAGGGTACCTGTGACGATAAAACCTAGATGCAGTACTAGCATTGCATCTACATTCCCCACAAATGCATGTTTCTGCATGGTGTTCACAGACATGGTGGCACTACAGAATCACGAAGTAATAAAAGTGGCGTAGAATGACCCTGTCCGTCAAAATTTGAAATTTATAGAAATGGGAACTTAAAGAGTATCATAGGGTGTAGATTTTGCCGATTTTTTTAAAGCCATAATTTGAAAAGTTCACGGCTTAGATTTTCTTATATTTCTCCGACAACTATTGTGGCTAGCCCTAACCCCCGTTTCCGGCTTGACGTCGACTGGGACACCTGAATGTATGTGTTACCTTTATTACCCAACAACTTAGGTGAAAATTACCTTTGGTGCTTCCTTTTCTCTTAGTGTACTTTGGTACATCAAAGAATCATACCTTGAATTTCGACAGTAGATCTGCTCAGTTTATAATAGTTGAAGCATACTGCAATATTGCCTTTTATTTCAGTATGGTTGGTACTGGGGTCCAATCTCAAGCGAAGCAGCAGAAAAAATATTGTCCAACGAGCCTGATGGGTCGTTTATAGTGCGTGATAGTAGTGACGATCACTACATTTTTTCATTAACGTTCAAATTGAACAATTGTGTTAGACATGTTAGGATAGAACATGATCAGGGTAAGTTGTTCAGTATTATCTCTTATCATTTTTAATAGCTGAGTAGTCAAATTCATTTTCAACTATACGAAGGGTACTATAGTACTTTTCACGGTTTAAAGTAAAACTTCAGGAATTTCGTTGATACATCCATCTCTCTTATACATACACATGCAACCTACCCTTGTGTGTGGGCGTTTGTTCGATCAGCTCAAAGACATACGTTTTTTAGTTGTGTGTATCCTTCTCGAAAACTTTGTCGTTACGTATGGGTGTCCTTCAATCATATTTGTAAGAGTGACAACTTCAATATAAAATTGTACAATGCCCGGAAATACGAACAATGGAGAAGGCCGACAGCTCGTGCTAAATTTATTAGAGTATTTCCAGGAAGAGAATGAAAACAGCGGTCCCCTGTTACCCACTTCATGCGTACTGGAGAGAGTAGCAGATGCGCTGAAGATAAAGATCCGCCCATGGTACTGAGACTCGATCTGTTTACTTATTTCATATGGCGTTGATTACGTAACCGCCAAGAACGGTGACCACAACTATATAAAAGTTTTGCCACCGGATTTAAATCCCATCGAACATGTGTGGGATATGATGAGAAGACTATCCACTTTGCATCATCCGCCACGGATTCTGTCAGAGCTAATCCTCGAAGTTCGAGTTGCTTGGAATGAGGTGCCACAACCAGACATCGCTCATCGCTCTTTGTCGATGCCTAGTCGTATACAGGAGTGTATTCAGCTGCGGGGTTGCTCAACACATTATTAATTTTTTTCTTATTACTTGTCAATGAAATTTCGTAACAATATTATCATTTCATTCTTGATGTAAGACTACCTCATTGCCAAGGTGAAGAAATTATTTTTTCTGGGTGTAACACTTCTGATGTCACTGAGTATTTTACTATTTTTGAGAATAGGTTCAGTTACGGCAGAGTAATCGTCAAAACTGATGTTCATTGACTTTTCTATTTTGCAAAGCACCAATTCCATTGCGAGAACATTTTAACATAAAGTTTCCACTATAGAGGATGAAAAACCTTTGTAGGTTTAAAAAATCTGTCCAGTGGTTCAAAGAACAAATATTCTAGAACTTACCGAGGCTTCGTTTTTGTGATTTACCGAGATTCTGACATTTTTGGAAGAGTCAATAGATTTAGGAAATAACAATTCATTTTGGACTACTTTCAACAAGAGGTAAATCTGAGGACAACTTGTTGCTCCTTTAAATTATGAAATATTTGTTCATCGTAATGAGTTACGTTACTGAAACAGTTTGATACCTGCATCACTAAGTAAAAATCCATCAGAAATTCAGGTTTTTTCCTTTTCGATGACACTGCTACCCCTAGGGCTGATTGTACGTTGTTCCTCGAATTTACAGTACCCAGTCCAGTAGTATAGTGTTCTCTACCAGTAGGTACAATTTTGGTTTTCCAAAGAGTTCATGTTTTTTTTGTGATCGCACTCACATAAGACATATAAATATAAGGCTGATTCTGTCCCTTTTCCTCATTGCCTGACGCTGAGGTGTCCATCATAATTTTGAGCAGGTGTTCTTTCAGGCCATTGTGTCCTGTTAGAAGGCCTGTAACCTACACTGAGTTGGTTTCTACTCACTGAGAGCAGTTCCGCAGCTGTATTTGGACATCGTCTTTTCCATGCCAATACATATTCCTTGTGCTGGTTTGTTACCCTTTCTTTGACATGGTTCCTTATTGTGGTTTTTGGCACCCCCAAAGCAGTTTCTGGACCTGTAAAGGGTGGGGATAATCCTTTCCTTTGACATCAGCTTGCCCTTTCATTTCCTGTGTAACATGAATGTCCTGGCACCCACATCAAAGTTATCTTCTTGTGTTCCGCCAGTTTGTTCAGTTCTTTGAACGAAGTCAAGAAATAAAGCTGTATGGCAAAACTTTTATAGTACCCTTTGTATAATGTGTACTAATATTTATAGAAATATTTTGAGTTATCAGCAGATATCTTTTTGTAAATTGAGCCGAACAACTGTTTATTTTATCGCACTTTCTAAAACAATTCAATCCCCGTTGAATTTGAAAGATAACGGATAAACGGATTTAATAAACTTATTAAACAAATTAATTGCTAAACAAAGTACGTTACATTTTTATGTATGGCATTAATTCGCGATTGTTGTTTCCAGGTAACTTTAGTTTTGGAAGTTGTACAAAATTCAAGTCTCAGACTATTGTAGAATTCATTGAGAATGCGGTCGAGCATTCACGCAGTGGTCGATACTTATTTTTCCTTCATCGGCGGCCTGTGATTGGTCCCGTTCGAGTCCAGTTGTTGCATCCTGTTTCGAGGTTTAAGCAAGTGCAGAGCCTGCAGCACATGTGTCGGTAAGTCCGTAAACTAATGATTTCAACATGAGATACCCCCGAAAAATGTCACATACATTCCACGTGAAGCAGACACTGAAAAAAAGTGAGGTTTTAAATTTCGTCCATAGTGGGTCTGTTTGAGCATCTAGTAGGTGCGACAGAGAAAACACGTTTTTTTTTCTTGACACGTTGATTTGCTCTAAGTTACAGGCTTCGAAAGGGAAGCCGTTCTTGAAATTAAGATTTTTTTCGTAGAATTTTTTCTAATTTGTTTACGATTTATTTAGCATGATCACTACAATTACATTCTTTCAAAAAACTACAACAATTACATAACATACAAATATTTAGAAAAACAAAATTTGCATCTCTAAGAATTTTCACTGTCCACGAAATGTTCCTTTAATTTTCTTTTAAACATCTTTAAATTACGTAAATTAAGTAATCGTTAGTAGTAAGTACTCACTTCTGAAATACTGATTTGCTACTTATATTACTTTTGCAATTTTTTAAATGGAAATTTATATTTGCTCTTGTATAATAATTATGGTAGTAATTATTCAGTTCTATGTAATGTTGTAAATGTTATGGCAAAAGATTTTTTATTTTAAATATGAAAATTAGAACAAAATATGATATTAAATTTTTTATACTCCACCATTGCAATTCTTGTAACATAGATTTTATTTTTATTCAATATTATTCTCATAGCTTTTATTTGTAGAATTTCGAGAATAGATTTTCATTGGCAGTGAACAAGATAGTTGAAAAAGGTAGTAAATGCTTTGGAATAATTGTATCATAAACTATTTTTTTTGGGGATGTGTCTAAGACACTGAGAAGCCCTATAAAAGTTTTTTTAATTTTAAAATAATGTATTCATAGTGATCCCCAAACATTACTATCAATATACAGGGTGTCCCGAAAAAAGTGTGCAATATTCTACCAGCGGTTTCTAGAGCTTAAAATAGGAAGAAAGGTTTATATAAACATAGGTCCACAAACGTCCCCTAAGGGTGCTACGGTCCTTTAAAGGGGCTCCCATGAAGATGGTTTTTCCTTAACATTTCCGAAACGTGTTGAGATAAAGACATAAAATTTGGTACTTTAGCCTAGTTTTTTATGATGGATTTAAAAATATCAACAATTTTAGACAGTTTTATTTGGAAGCGTATCTAACAGGGACGGACTCAGGTTATTTTAGCCCCAACATTTTTGTGTGATTCTATTTTTGAAATTCAATTTTAGAATTTGAAAATTTAGGGTTTTCTATATAAAAAAGGGTATTCTTATTGAATATCGATAAATTGTGCCATTTTTGAATAAAATCAAACTAAAAAATTTGTCACATGATAGGAAATGTACTACGAATTTAAATCAATTGTTGATTATACATAGTTAGCATGACCTCAAACAAAAGTTGTTTTGATTTGTTATGCCTTATTTTGACGTTAAGCTGACATTGTTAGCAGTATAAAATTTCTAGATTAAAATCAATTTTTTTATTAAATCGATTTAAAATGCCAAGATTTACAGACAGAGAACTGACTGACATGCATTTTGTGTACGGGTTTTGCAATGGCAGTTCATTGGCAGCCGTAAGAGAATATCAAAGAAGATTTCCTAATCGCATAGTACCTGGACGTCGAATGTTTACTGATATTCACCGGAATTTGTCAAACCATGGAAGTTTTCAGCGCATGCAGGGTTCAAGAAGGCCACTGGGAAATCATCGTATGAATATTACTTTAAATATGTTTGAAAAATAAGCATACGAAATGTTTCAGGAATTATGGATATACCTCGATCAATAGTAACAGAAACTTATGAATACCTATTTGATAGTTATCCTAAAAATAATAATTTTAGATAGGAAAAATGACGAGAATGCAAGGATTACATCCTTATCATTTTAAACGGGTGCAGCATTTAACGGAGGCAGATTTTTTACCACGAATCGAGTTTTGCCAGTGGATATTAGCAAATGAAAACACTATTCCTAGAATATTATGGTCGGATGAGTCAATATTTACTAGGAATGGTGCTTTTAATTTCCATAACATGCATCACTGGTCAGATGAAAATCCAAAAGTTGTTCGCCGAACAAATTTCCAATATAGATTTTCATTGAACTGATGGGCAGGAGTAATTGGGGATCAAGTAATTGGGCCTATTGTACTTCCCAATCGTCTTAATGCAGAGGTGTATCTGAAATTTCTTCAGAATGAGCTCATGTAATACCATTGGATGTGCGCCAGCAGTTTCAAGAAAATATGTTTTTTCAATATGATGGCGCCCCTGCACATTTTGGACGCAATGTTCAAAATTGGTTGAATGTCAATTTTCCAGACAGGTGGTTAGGCCGAGGAGGTCCTATAGCGAGTCCGCCACGTTGACCTGACCTAAATTCATTGGATTTCTATTTTTGGGGGTCATTCATAGTTTACTCGACTGAAGTAAATACTCAAGAAGATTTACTTCAAAGAATCCATCAGGCTGCAAATGAAATAAGAAGAAAAAGGTTTTCCACTTTTCGGGCTACGCAGTATATCCAACTGTATGTCTTCTTTTTTAAACAAATTTCAATTTCGTTCGTAGAAAAAATTTATTTCTTTTGTTTTTGCCTAAATGTTAGCTATGTTGCAATAGAAATATGTATTTATGTAATATTTACCAATTATTAAATTAGTTGTTTCGTTGCCATGGCTAATTATTCAACAATTCATTTAAATTCGCAGTACATTTCCTATCATGTGACAAATTTTTTAGTTTGATTTTATTCAAAAATGGCACAATTTATCGATATTCAGTAAGAGTACCTTTTTTTATGTAGAAAACCCTAAATTTTCAAATTCTAAAATTGAATTTCAAAAATAGAATCACACAAAAATTTTGGGGCTAAAATAACCTGAGTCCGTCCCTGTTAGATACGCTTCCAAACAAAACTGTCTAAAATTGTTAATATGTTTAAATCCAGCATAACAAACTAGGCTAGAATCCCAAATTTTATGTCTTTATCTCAACACGTTTCGGAAATATTAAGGAAAGACCATCTTCAGGGGAGAACCTTTAAAAGACCGTAGCGCCCTTAGGGGACGTTTGTCGACCAATGTTTATATAAACTTTTATTCCTATTTTAAGCTCTAGAAACCGCTGGTAGAATATTGCACACTTTTTTCGGGACACCCTGTATAAAAAATAATATTTAGTTGATTCAACTTTTTCAATTATTTCACCATGTATCCTAACTGAGATAGTATTTTCGTTTAAGTATTTTTAGCATTCATTTTGTTTTAGAAGGATACAATCTTAGTTTATTCACATTTAACGGATTTATGATTTTTGCCAAGTCGGAATTTAGCATATCTGTGGGAGTGTCTATATTTTCATCTGATGCATTATATATACTAAGTGACATATAAATCAGAACACCCAGTTTAAATGGTTTTATTTTAATAAAATTTTGTATAAGTACTTAATGAAGCATAACAAGTAAATGATAAAAATTTCAAAATGATGGCACTGCTTTAAAGCCCTTTGACCTTTAATAATGTGTGGATGCACCCTGATGTGCTACGCATTATCCAACGCGCCTAGGCATGCTTCTGATCAGGTGGTCAATGTCCTCCTGTGGTATCTCATTCCAGGCAACCACCAACTCCTCTCGAAGTGCTTCTAGAGTCTGAGGAGGACGTTGCAAATTGGGCAATCTCCTACCCACCATATCCCACACGTGCTCAATTGGGGATAAGTCGGGAGATCTTGGTGGCCATGGTAACAATGTGACATCATTATGTTGAAAGAAGTCTATTGTGACTCTTGCAACATGTGGTCGGGCATTATCTTGTTGGAAAGTTGGATCTGCCAGGGTGTCAAGATAGGGTAAAAGATGGGGTTCTAGAACTTCGTGGATATAACGCTGCGCGTTTATGTTACCTCTGATGAAGATTAAAGGTGACCTGGAACCATAAGCTATAGCACCCCAAACCATAACTCCAACAGTGTGATGAACATGTCTTTCAAAAAAAAAACTGTGGATTCCTCCTTTCACCACGTCGCCTTCTAACGCTGGCACGACCATCGTGCATGCCTAAACAAAATCGAGACTCGTCACTAAAGACAATACTGTTCCATTCCTGATCCCAGAGTGACCGGCGATCTTCACAGTCTGTTGTTCTACGGCGGCGTCCAGTGCGCCTTGCTCTTTGCGTACGGCCTTCTCGAAGCCATGCCTGACAACACCTAACCACAGTGTCTACACTTCTTTGCACTCTAACTGCAATTGCCCGAAAAGGAAGTCCAGCTTCCCGAAGTCCCACTATACGGCCCCTATCATACTCACTAAGTTGACGAAATCGTACAGGTCTCCGTACTCTAGGCATCGTAACCGATCGTAAAGGATGTCAAGAACCAAAATCCGCCAACGTTGATTCTTTACTGCGGCTGAAATATTCATTTTTAGAGCGTTAGTGAATTAAAAAAAAGCAGTATAAAAACCGGAATGTCCAACTGATAAGGCTGAACATTTTTTCACTTGTTATTTACAGTAAGATAAATACATTCACCAACTTTTATTAAAATAAAACCATTTAAACTGGGTGTTCAGATTTATATGTCACTTAGTATATAATACGTATATCAATGTATCACCTGCAAATATCTGAATTTTGCAATAATCTAAAACATCACGAATGTCATTAATGTGTAAAATAAATAGTAGAATTTCAACAAAGATTCGACATTTGCCATATGAAGGGCTTACTCCTAACTATATTTGCTCTCCCTTTCCTGCAGATTCGTAATCCATAAGAACGTTCGTCGTGACCTCATTGCCCATCTACCCCTACCGCGGCGGATGATCGACTACCTGAATACCCCCCACTACTACTCGGAGCACTTTGCCGCCGATTTTTCAGCTGGAGACGAAGATTGCCCCGTTTCGATGTCTGGTAGCAGTTCCAGCGATTCCCCTCGACCCCCTCTTGAACCTTTAGTTGAGAGTGGCACTCCTCCTGTGACAGGGGTGGTCAGCAACTACGTTGTAGTTAGGAATGGGGGTAGTACACAACACGCAAGAGAATAATACGAGGGTGTATCGAGGTTTGTGTATTCTAGGCCGAAAATACAGATTTCTTCCGCAGGTACATACTGAAACAGTCCGACGGTACCATTAATTTGGATTTCACTTATGGGTGTCCCAAAAGTATGGACACCACCAAATAACTCTGAATCTAAAGAATTTTAAATACAAAAGTTGTAGGAAATCAAATGGCGCACCTTGAGGTGCATTTCAAGGGCAAGTGGATTTTTTCAAATGGGAACCTCCCAAAAATAGAACGCCAAAAAATTCCATTTCAACGGTATAATGTACTAGATATAGATGTTATTTCAAGTTCAACTGTTTGAATGTTGAAAAGCAGCGGATAGCTGGAAAAAAGATATTAAAGAAGCACTTTCAATTCGAAAATTCCAGGACACACAACAGCACGTCTGATGGTGACCTTCATTCTGACCTTGGCTAAGACCTTGACGGTAAATTCAAGTCAAATTTATTTTGTCACATGGAAACAGGACAGATAGACTTTGCTAGTGGAAAAAGAGATCTTGGACTGATTCTTCAAGATATTGAGGGAATACTATTTCATACTATACTGAAACAGTCCAAGGGTACCATAAATTTGGATTTCATTTATGGGTGTCCCAAAAGTATGGACACAACCAAACAACTCTGAATCTAACAAATTTGTAGGCAATCAAATGGCGCATCTAGGGGTAACTTTGGATTTGACATTGACATCCACCTTGCAGTTCATTTCAAGGGCAAGTTGATTTTTTCAAATGAGAACCTCCCAAAAATAGAACGCCAAAAAATTCCATTTCAACGGTATAATGTACTAGATATAGATGTTATTTCAAGGTCAACTGTTTGTATGTTGAAAACCAGCGGATAGCTGGAAAAAAGATATTAAAGAAGCACTTTCAATTCGAAAATTCCAGGACACACAACAGCACGTCTGATGGTGACCTTCATTCTGACCTTGGCTAAGACCTTGAAGGTAAATTCAAGGTCAAATTTATTTTGTCACATGGAAACAGGACAGATAGACTTTGCTAGTGGAAAAAGAGATCTTGGACTGATTCTTCAAGATATTGAGGGAATACTATTTCATACTATACTGAAACAGTCCAAGGGTACCATAAATTTGGATTTCACTTATGGGTGTCCCAAAAGTATGGACACAACCAAACAACTCTGAATCTAAAAAATTTGTAGGCAATCAAATGGCGCATCTAGGGGTAACTTTGGATTTGACATTGACATCCACCTTGAAGTTCATTTCAAGGGCAAGTTGATTTTTTCAAATGAGAACCTCCCAAAAATAGAACGTCAAAAAATTCCTTTTCGGCGGTATAATATCATAGGGGCTAAATCTAGATATAGATGTTATTTCAAGGTCAAATGTTGGAAAGTTAAAAAACAGCGGATGGCTGGAAAAAGGGTATTAAAGAAGCACTTTCAATTTGAAAATTCCACGACACGCAACAGCACATCTAATGGTGACCTTCATTCCGACCTTGGATAAGACCTTGAAGGTAAATTCAAGCTCAAATTTATTTTTGCACATGGAAACAATACAGATAGTCTTTGCTAGTGGAAAAAGAGATCTTGGACTGATTCTTCAAGATATTGGCCACTAAATGCAAGACAGGCTAATGTCCTACCAGTGAAGGCGAGCCAGGTTGGCGTGCAGTATTCGGCCAGTAAAGGCAAGACAGGATGTCTAAAAACTGTTTTATTATAATTAGTTTTCTCCGTTTTGTGACTTGAGTATGTTGCACCTTGTTCACGTTTATTTTATATTTCAAAACATCTTGATCGCATTTCCAAGAGAGACCTAGAGTCTTAGTTTCGTGATCTTTGTTTGCTGAAAATTCCACAATATTTGGCGAATATTCGTTGCCTGAATCATTTGTTAAGTTTTTACTATTAGATTTCCACTTTCTCAGGTCAAATCCCCGCTGGAGTAATATCCGTGAAATCTGATCTTTTATATAATTAGCTTCATCTTCAGTATTCACACAAGTTAATAAGTCATCGACATATCGTTTCGGATGATCTTCGATATAGTTGGGTGCTTCGCACTCATCAGCAATTTGATGTAAACATCTGATCGCTAAAAAGGATGCCGCTGTAGTTCCGTATGTGACGGTATTCAATTGAAATGTTCTAAGTGGTTCATTGGGGTTTGAACGCCATACAATTTTCTGTAATGTAATTTACGCTGATCAGGATTCATCAATACTTGTCTGTACATCATCTTTATATCACTAGACAGTTCAACGAATCGCAAACGAAATCTAATAATGATGTTGAAAAGATCTTGCTGAATGATAGGACCTGTCATCTGTAAATCGTTCAAAGATAAACCGCTAGATGTAGGCGCCGACGCATTAAACACAACGCGCAATTTAGTCGTGCAGCTGGATTCTTTCAGCACCCCGTGGTGCGGCATAAAATATTCCGTATCATCCTTTTCATCGCACGTGATGACATATGTCCCAAATTCGCGTATTGATCTAAGAAGTCTGTATATAACTTCCGGAATTTTTCATTGGTTATTAACTTTCGTTCAAGCGATATGAATCGTAAGTTTTGCCGGAGAGTCCTTAAGTAGAAGAGATAATATCTACCTTCTTCAGAAGTTGTCAAGTGGATTACGAAATGTTCTTCGCATAAAGTCTCTTCTCCGACCAGGGTTTTTTTTATCTACTTCCTGAACTTCCCACAATTTAGCTAGTTGATCTTGGATCAAAAGATTTCTGGTCAACCCACAATGCGATTTTGTTGTAGGTATATCTGTTACGGGTAAAGTTAGAATAATGATTAAACTTAGGTTTACCCGGGTAAACTGCACAATACGCAGACAACATGGGTAAAGTGCAAAATATTACTGAAATTGTAAATGTTTCGAACTTTACCCGGGTAAACCACGTTCTGTCCACTTTCGTGTGGTTAATGTTAAAAAATAACGCCATAAATGTTTTAAAAACACATTTTATTGAAAGAACAGATTTTAAAAAACAAAGGTTACACTGAAACTGTATCCTAACAAAGTACAAGATACTAGAATCTATTTGTTTAAACAAGATAAGCTGTTATGACATTTTGAGTTACAAAGATTTCCAATAGCCTTACATTTACACTTATTGCTTATGCATTTAGTTTTACAGTTGCATCGTTTGTAACCTTGACCTCCTAAAAGAGATTGTTAGTTTGCAAGTTGTCGTGAAGTTTCCATATCTACAAGTTTCTCATTACATGGTTGGTTCCTGGAAAACATCTCCTCGATAGTTGCTCTCTTGTTTGCTAGCTTATAAAAATCGTCGTCAGTTTTTTTCGATTACTGTCATGAGAACATTTCTAAATTCACCCCTCCCTCTATCAACGTCTGGAATTTTCACTCTCACTGTATCTCCAACAGAACATGGCGGAAACTTTGAATTAGACAAATCTTTCATTTTCTTTGCTAGATTTTCTAAATTTCGATTTGCCTCTAGTCTGTTTGACCGTATGTTTTTTTTGCACAAACAAAGTTCACAACATATATTCCTCGATGTACTTGGTTTGTCATACTCTGAACATTTCTAAGTTTCCATATTACCAGCGTTTTCTCTATAATTGTTGTTGATATTTTGCATATTTCCATCTTCAGTAATCTGTTCTTGCATGTTATCTGTTTCTAGGTTACTGTCCATAGATTGGTCTTCATTTCGTTCTTCTTAAAGCTCTTCACCTACACCAAATTCCTCCACAACTTTCTCGAGCTCTTCTTCGGTTCGTACATTTTCATTAGCTTCTTTTGGAAACGCTGATGTGGATAGGCCGAGTTTAATATAATGCCCAAACATGGCAGCATAAGGAGCTTGTTTTATCCCGTCATGGTATGTCCTATTTTTCATTAACTGGACAAATCTTATACCTTCTGACCATCGCCTGCAGTTTTCATCATCCATCCACGTCATAAGCATATTTTGTATATCTTGATTTGCTCTTTCCACGCTGCCTTGTGACTGACTATGACGTGGTTTGCCATGGACTATTTTAAGGCCACTCCACATTGTACATAACCATTCAATGACACGGTTGGCCAACTCACGGCCGTTGTCCGATTGTAGTATGGATGGGGCGCCGAAAATACAAAATATGTCTATCAGGCTCTTAGCTACTTCCTCAGCCCTTTTCGGTGTTAATGCACGTATTTGAGGCACAGAGATAATGATATGCTTGGATGTCGTTGATTTGCGCATTATTGTGAATCATAGATTCGAACATGTCTTTAAAACCCATCCATTTGGGCAGTTTGATCTCGGGTAACTTAATACCCTCCATTGCGATCGGTTTTTCATGTTGAGAAGAACAAGAACGTATAGAATTGTTATCAAAACTTTGTAGTGTACACTTCGCGTTTGATATTATAGTGTAATATTTGTTTTCGAAGTCTTCCCGGACTGTAAACTGTTCCTCTACGTCTTCTACTTCACATTCAATCTGGGACTGTACTCCATCAAACCCAGAAAGTAGAGCTTCAGCGTTATTTATACGTTGCTCCAATTCGACTATCCTTGACTTGCCCCTCGTATCATCATCCAAGCTTTCAAAATCGAATATGTATTTCTCAAAAAGCGTCAATTTCGCATTAAATACATACACCGCGTCGTCTTATCAAGGCTCTAACATCAGAAACCTCTGATTCAGTCATCGTCTTTACGTATATAAATCGTGAATAAAGTGCAGAACATTCAACGAAATGTGTGGACTGTATGGACTGTACTATATAATGTATCAATGAACGTGTTAAATAACATAAACGACTTGAAGTATTTAATGTACTAAACGAATTAAAATATGCACTAGAGGAAGCAACGTATTAAATGTGCACTAGGGCAAATAATGTATTAAATGTGCACCAGGGCAAATAGTGTATTAAATGTGCACTAGGGCAAATAATGATTCGTATTTGAGTCAATACTGAATAGGAAAGTGATAAACGTTCAACGTATCTTGATCGCTGCGCTCGGGGAAAAGGGGCTGCTTGGCTTCCACCGGCAGTTTCTCTTTTCAGATGAACTATTTCGTGTTTTCCATAGATCCCAACAGGCTCGAAGGTCCATGTTGCGTGTTGTAGAGAAATAGGCACTGGTTCTAGGTTTTGGGTTTATCCAAAGTTACAATGCTAATGTGATTTTGCAATATAAAAAATGATGCGTATGTCTGTGACCAAAACGGCGGCGTCTTCATGTGGCCCCACTCCAGCGATCAATGGCACTCAGTGGCGGGACATGTAGGGCGCTTCACGTAGTGGCAGGATATGAGGTTTACGGAACACACAGTTTAACATTTTCTCCATTTAATTTGACAAAATACTCTATTGAAATATTTCTGGAAGAAACCTGTTTTTTTTTTGTTTTCTTTGGATATGACCGCTTTTTAGGAATTGTTTTTTTCAAGAATATAAATATATTTTTTGTTTATCATAATCG